TGAGTAAATATCAGCACTGGGAAGACAAAGGTGACTGGACATGGTGCTGGCCACAATTTTTATGAGTACCTGTGTATACCTCAACACTGGAAAGACAAAGGCAGCTGGGCATGGCAGAGGCCACGTTGTTCCCTCGTGCGTCATGCCAGTCTTGTTGGATGCTAGTTAAAGGCACTTGCATGTTTGGCTATATGGGGGATCATTGTCTCTTTTATACTGTCGGTGTGGGCAGGATGGTTATTTGACTACACGTGTGTCCGATGGGATGAGCCTCGCAATTATGTGGTTGTGGTCTTTGCGCATCATGTGGCCTGATTTCCATTCCTGGCCACAACACACTCACACCCTTATTGAGAGTCCATATCCGAAACGTCGTTGGCCTCCCCGAGCTTAACTCGGTCCAAATTGAGTAGGCCTCGGCTATGTGATGCGTTGACATCATAGCTCGGGAGAAAGAGACGTGTGTGGTGGTGGTGGTGGTGGCCACACCATCCCATCGCATGCTGTGGCTATTGCCTAGCCTTAATAGGCGCTCGCGCATCGCTCTTTGTCCGTGGACAGCCGCCTCGAGCCGACGCGAGTGCCCTCGTGTTACCCCCCGATTTCTCCCAGAAGTCGAGTTGATGGACACATCCGAGTGGCCTCGCCGAAATGAAGATTCTGAGCGACTTGAGTTGTCGCTTCTACTCGCCACCAGCTACGACGTCGGGGAATTACAATGCCGATTACGCCAAGTCACATCGGTCTGGTTGAAGTTGACTAAAAGAAAACCGTGAAAACGTAGTGCCCCAAGGGAGTCGCAGAACTCGAGTGCATATCCGAGTTCTGCGACTCACGGAAATGTGGTGCATCAGAATCCCTGCTGAATGCTTCAGGGTGAATTTGATCGGCTTAATGTCTCCAGTGTTTCAGCTGCACAATGCACCCAGGATCTGATACAGTACGGGAGTAATGAAATGTCTCCCACGACAGACATCGCACATTGGTGTTGCATCTTTAAACGCGTGCGGAAAAAGGACCATGCACACGCGTGGATTCTGAAATGCTTTCCGTCGCACGGTTAGCAGTACGGGAGCTGACGGGAAGTTGTCGGGGCAAAGCCTTGTTTGCATGCCTGCAAAAAGTCATTTTAGCAACGGTTTAAGTCAACCCTTTGAGCAAATTGGGAGTTTTCAATCGGGTACGCTCCTCGTTGCATAAAAACTCTCTGCTAAAGTTGTTTTCATGTCAAATATTTTGTACGAGAGTCGTGCAAACACCCCCCACCCCCCGCCAATTAAGATGGACACAAGAACAGACAAACATTTCTAATTAATAAATGCTCTCAGCCTTAAGTGTGACAAAAAGTTGCATTCAAGCAAGGGTCATTTTCTCCGTGTAAAAATAAAATGTTTTCTGTATTGAGCCTATGGATCTTTTGGAGTGATGTCTTCCAGCGGCATCTGTTTAAGTAGATGAACTCTTGCCCAGTTTTGACCTTCTGGGTCTCATCAGTGGACGAGAGTGTGCTCTGCTGAGTGCTGTTGTGTTTTTTGGTGGAGTAAGTGGCAAGAAAACCTCGACAAACACCATTTGGATGGCATTTGTTTAACAGGTCAATGTTATTTGTCTTGTTTGTACGTTTTGTACGTGCTGAAACAGACACCTGTTTATTATTGTATTTACCACAATCCAGTACAGGAGGACAGAATAAAACAAAATATGTTTGTACAATCGTGTTGTTGTGTTGCAGGCATCCCACTGGCAATGATGAAACACGGTGTGTTGATGAAATAGAAAAGCACATTCATAAATAATGGTCGGCCTCATGATGTGAAAATGGAAGTAAGTGACATTTTAGGCCATCGGCTTATGGGCCGTCCGAACCAATGTTTAATTTTGCAGCAGAAGTAAATGAATAAATAAGCAGACGAGGTTCCGTCTCACCGTGCGAAAATAAAACCGAGTATTATGTATTTATATATAACTTGTGGATACGTTATGGGTAAAATCAAATATGAGCATAACTATGTTCTATGCCTCCACATACAATTGCAAACAGTTTTTTTTTCAGTTGGCCTATCGGCTTTCCAACATTATCCAACAACATTTGTTTCGACAAGCAAACTCTGGACGGTTTAGACTTTTTTGGTCTCATCAGCGGGGTTAGCATTAAATAGAGAAGAAAAGTTTAACCATACTTGGCCAAAAGAGACTTGAATGGAGTTGCTTCACGAACGCATGGTTTGGGGTCTTTAGCAATTAGGGTCACACGGAGGTCACCCAATCTTCACTCGTCTGTTCCCCCCCCCCCCCTATCTTATTACCTCTCTCCATCCTCACCCACACCCCGGGCCTCCAGGGCACAGCCTCCACACGGAGAGTGAGCGAGCCAGCGGGGTTAGAGATTGTCCAGTGATAAGAGCAGGTCTTCATCACGTGTGAGGGCTCGTGACTCATCAAGAGTCTGGAGACCAAGCTGGCAAGTCCGCTCTCTGAGTCTCATAATTCACGACTGTGTCGCCAGGCAGATTTAAGACAGTGCGCACCATACACCGTCTATATTTCAACATCAGTCAGTGACATAGGTATTCCAATTGTCCTCAAGATATCATTTGTTTTGACGAGCCATGAGTTATAGAGGAAAGATGCACACATTAATCCTGAAAAGCAGATGTTGGAGGCTAATTATGTCACAGAGATATAGACGAAAAGAAACTGTCAACGGATAATAATTTATGAACGTTTAGGGAGCGGTGGTGCAATAGTGAATACATTTCACTGTAATCCTGGTGACCTGAGTTTGATTCACAAGTAAGATCGTCGGTGAGGGACATTTAACCTTGTTCTGAGCTTCCATCTTCACCAACACACACTGACCAGCATGGTGAAGTATGGTCAAACATCGCCCCATGATGGACATGATATACATAGCACTGGCCGGTCTTCATCCAGCAATGGGATGCCAACTAAGCACGTTGAGCTTCTTAAATTAAAGAATTCTGCAGTCCAAGGCTACTTTTGAAATTAAAAGAATAAGCATGTGTTTTACCTCAAACATGTTGACCAACTCTGCCGATTTAAACGGTAGGCTGGTGAGTTCTAAACTCGTTTGACCGCGAACCGAATTTCAAAGGAAAAGTTGCCTCTTTTTCTCTCCAAAAAATGCGTACCGTGATAATCATTGAACATCGGTATGGGTTAAACATTGTTGAAGATTCGGCATGCTACCACTTAAATCGGTAGAGTTGGCAAGCAAGCAGGAGTAGTATCCTGTGTTTAACCAGGAGATGAAAGTTCACACGTGCAGCATTGGTCTTTTGCAAGTGCTCGATGTAAGCTGAGTTACATCAAGCAAATAAAAACGGTAAAAACCATAGAATGTGTTTTTTTTTACAAAACTTTATTTAACAATTCTCTCAAATGTTTAATGTGTGAAAAAATAACATTTATTGAAAGAACTCCCCCCCCCCCCCACAAATAATAAGTAGGTCTCTAAACTCCTCTCCGCACTTTCCTCCCCAATAATTTAACCCCTTTCTCTACCCTCCCCACCTCCACCTCGTTACGTGAAGCCCTCTTTTTATTTTTGCTTTTCACACCCAGAGGCCCTGTCGTGTGTCCCCGTCAGCCACTTCCAGGGAAACACCTCTCGCGCAACAATTTGTCGCCGGTGATGAATCTGCTGCCTTCACAAAAGGCAGCTGCTGCTGCTGCTGCAGCGTCGGCAAGAAGACGGTGCCGGGTCCCCTGTGGCGTAGCCCTGCGGTTAGGAACACAGACGGCCGAAATATAAAACGCGCGCACGCACACGCGCGCACGCACGCGCACGCACGCACGCACACGCACAGTTTAAACTTGACACACCGTGTATATTGATATAGTGAGAGATATTGTAGATGCTTTTTCTGTTTTTCTTGTGAATACCCTAATGTTTGGCACGAATATTGCCAACCTCTGTTTGCTGTACTGCATACTCTTGTCCCCTCCCCCCCCCCCCCCCCATGTAAATCCTGTAAACGATGCTTGATATCAGCTGGAACAGTCTGGAATGCCGTTTCGTGTAATTATATTTGCACCTCGCATCCGTCTCGCCTTATTTTGTCACCATTGTACCCTATATTCCTATAAAGCTGTTCTTAGGATTATAGAGATATATGGTACAATAATATATTATTATTATTATGGACAGGCGTACCTTGTAAAAATAATGATCGGTGAGGTAAGGCAGGGAGTGAGGTGAGCGAAGGCAGTGAGTGAAGTGAAGGAAGGTAAGTGTCACTAAACTAAACTGTTTTTTTAATTCTACCAGGTAAGGTCCACTGAGCTATGTAGCTATTTTTTCAGAAGTGACCTGGCCACAAATGATAGCCCAACGAAGTGGCGTACCGTGTGGAAATGTACAGCAGCCACATACTCTAAACGCGTGTTGATTTTAAATGTGGAGAGGGAAAACTGGAGGACCAGGAGAAAAAAATTCATGCAACCACAGGGAAAACGTGCAAACTCCAAATATACAGCAGGCATCAGGGTAGGGATCGAACCCACGACCTCCTGTATACCAGGTGAGGTAGTTAAGAGGGAGGGCAGGGAGTGAGGTGAGGGAGGGCAGGGAGTGAGTTGTGTTACGATTCGGAATCAAGTTGACCGAATGGCTAAATAATTATTAAATATTCGGTCAAATATTTGTTTTTAATACTACTTAGTTCACCGCACGTATGTTAATTTGAATGTATACACAAAAATTGCACCTATGCATTTAATATGGATGTTGGGAGCTGTCAATATACGTTACTGAGTGACGCGAATTCTACTGTTCCTGAAGACCCCCATAACATTACAACTTATTTTTTTGTAATGTGACCTCATACTTGAGACAAAATAAAAAAAAAATACCTTAAAATATCGCTCTAATTTCAACACACAAAATCAGAAACGCTGCAGACCAGTGACAGGCAGCCCTAGACGAGTTAGTTGAGCCACGTGAGCGACCTTCCCTCACCTCGGTGGGCCCACAAGCTTCACGTTGTGCTCGTGACCCCCCCCCCCTCCCATGCACCACCCTCGAGCCAGCGAGACCAGGCCACCACGAGGGCCTCCATGGGCTGCACGCCACCCAACCGCTGATGTAGAGGTGCTGGGTTTTTAGAGGGGACACGGGCAACAACAACAACAAAACAGCCTGACATTCATAATAAAGGTTTTTGGGTTAGATCGCGTTATTTATAAATGTGTCGAAACCCTCCACCACCCGACAGGGCCAATCAGCAAAATAAAGTGTCACGTTGACAAAAGACAATTAGTTCACTACTTTAGCCCACCGGTGTGTTGAAGAGTGAATCCACAACATTTACAGTTTGAGTACGACGTTTCGCTGGTAATTACATCCAGCATCATCGGGCAATTCGCCTGACATTCCTGCCTGTTGACTTCTTCTCGTACTTTCGCACGGCTGGCTGATGTCGATGCAGAGCATGGACTACAATTTCACGTTCAGGTGGTCAAGCCAGATGAGCGCGTCTGAAGCCGTGGTGGTGTCTCCTTCGTATTCGTGGATCGGGCAGATGTTGCACGATCTGTTCTGGACGACCACAGTGGCACGTTGGAGAGTTTTCATTGTGTTGTTGTTCCATTCGGGCATCAGGTATCTGCGTCTGCCGCGGTTTGTACAGATGCGGTTTAGGGTGGACCATGCGCACTGACGATTCATGGTGGGTAGGAGTGATGCGATTTGGCGCACAGGGAGCGGCAATGTTCAACGGGTTTGCAGTTTTAGAATGATTGAGTTGCGGATAGTGCCGTGGCTTGCAGCTATGGACTTAGTCACCTCTGCTCAAGGCTTAATCTGTCACTAATATTGTCCAGAACACTGATCTGCTCTTCCACAAGAGTATGAAGTACTCCTACACATAACACTCTTCGTACTGTCCTACAAGGATATTTGGTGAACTTCAGCATTAGTATGCACATGATTTGCACGGGGCACACCCCGGCACACACCACGACACACACCCACACACCACACCACGACACACCCTCACACCACGACACACACACACCACGACACACACCCACACCCCACGACACACACCACGACACACACTATGACGCACACCCACACACCACACCACGGCACACACCGCGGCACGCGAGATGGAATGGATGGCGCTCCAACATCATTTCCGGAACAGTGTTCCGGACTGTTCCGGCTGAAATAAGTCAGTGTCTGTGCCAAATGTACAAGTACATCCCTCCTGTCTATCCACTGCTGGATGAAGGCCTCTCAGAGCCATGTGGTGATGGGGGTAACTTGACCATACTTCACCCCACCGCTCAGTGAGGGTGGTTCGTGGACCAGAGTTCACCCTGGTAAACATGGAACGTTGGGTCAACGTTGGTCCAAAGCTTACAACCACATGCCAACGGTGGCCCAGCCTTTCATGATCACTGGGACCACGCCGGTCAGTGCAGGTGATTGGCCATACTTCCCCGCGCCGGTCAGTCTCGTCCCCCTCTCCTCACCCCCCTCCCCTCACCCCCCGACCCTCACCACCTCCCCTCACCCCTCTACCCTCACCCCTCCCCTCGCCCCTCCCCTCGCCCCCCCGACCCACGTGTGACCCCTACCCCGTGTTTGTTGTTTTGCTCAGATCCGTACACACGGCCACATAATGGGGCGGCTCTTCCTCCAGAGCGCAGCCTTCAAGGCGCGGGCCCCGTGTCGCCTTCTACCTGCGACCCCAGCCACCTGTTGTGTGTAAACACGGCCTCTGTGTGTGTGTGCTAGATGTGTGTGTGTGTGTTAAATGTGTGTACTATATAGGTGTGTGTGTGTGTGTGTACTAGATGGGTGTGTGCTAGATGGGTGTGTGTGTGTGCTAGATGGGTGTGTGTGTGTGCTAGATGGGTGTGTGTGTGTACTAGATGTGTGTGTGTGTGCTAGATGGGTGTGTGTGTGTACTAGATGTGTGTGTGTGTGCTAGATGGGTGTGTGTGTTAAATGGGTGTGTGTGTACTATATAGGTGTGTGTGTACTAGATCGGTGTGTGTGTACTAGATGGGTGTGTGTGTGTACTAGATGGGTGTATGTGTGTGTACTAGATGGGTGTGTGTGTGTGTGTACTAGATGGGTGTGTGTGTGTGTGTACTAGATGGGTGTGTGTGTACTAGATGTGTGTGTGTGTGTACTAGATGGGTGTGTGTACTAGATATGTGTGTGTGTGCTAGATGGGTGTGTGTGTGTACTAGATGTCTGTGTGTGCGTACTAGATGGGTGTGTGTGTGTGCTAGATGTGTGTGTGTGTGTGTACTAGATGGGTGTGTGTGTGTACGAGATGGTTGTGTGTGTGTGTACTAGCTGGGTGTGTGCGTGTGTACTAGATGTGTGTGTGTACGAGATGGTTGTGTGTGTGTACTAGATGGGTGTGTGTGTGTACTAGATGTGTGTGTGTGTACTAGATGGGTGTGTGTGTGTACTAGATGGGTGTGTGTGTGTACTAGATGTCTGTGTGTGTGTACTAGATGGTTGTGTGTGTGTGTGTGTGTACTAGATGTGTGTGTGTGTGTGTACTAGATGGGTGTGTGTGTGTACTAGATGTGTGTGTGCTAGATGTGTGTGTGTGCTAGATGTGTGTGTGTGTACTTGATGTGTGTGTGTGTGTGTACTAGCTGGGTGTGTGTGTGTACTAGATGGGTGTGTGTGTGTACTAGATGTGTGTGTGTGTGTACTAGATGGTTGAGTGTTGTGTGTGTGTACTCGATGTGTGTGTGTGTGTACTAAATGGGTGTGTGTGTGTGTACTAGATGGTTGAGTGTTGTGTGTGTGTACTAGATGGGTGTGTGTGTACTAGATGTCTGTGTGTGCGTACTAGATGGGTGTGTGTGTGTGCTAGATGGGTGTGTGTGTGTACTAGATGGGTGTGTGTGTGTACGAGATGGTTGTGTGTGTGTGTACTAGCTGGGTGTGTGCGTGTGTACTAGATGTGTGTGTGTACGAGATGGTTGTGTGTGTGTACTAGATGGGTGTGTGTGTGTACTAGATGTGTGTGTGTGTACTAGATGGGTGTGTGTGTGTACTAGATGGGTGTGTGTGTGTACTAGATGTCTGTGTGTGTGTACTAGATGGTTGTGTGTGTGTGTGTACTAGATGTGTGTGTACTAGATGGGTGTGTGTGTGTACTAGATGTGTGTGTGCTAGATGTGTGTGTGTGTGTGCTAGATGTGTGTGTGTACTTGATGTGTGTGTGTGTACTAGCTGGGTGTGTGTGTGTGCTAGATGGGTGTGTGTGTGTACTAGATGTGTGTGTGTGTACTAGATGGTTGAGTGTTGTGTGTGTGTACTCGATGTGTGTGTGTGTGTACTAAATGGGTGTGTGTGTGTGTACTAGATGGTTGAGTGTTGTGTGTGTGTACTAGATGGGTGTGTGTGTACTAGATGGTTGAGTGTTGTGTGTGTGTACTCGATGGGTGTGTGTGTACTAGATGTGTGTGTGTGTGTGTACTAGATGGGTGTGTGTGTGTACTCGATGTGTGTGTGTGTACTAGATGGTTGAGTGTTGTGTGTGTGTACTAGATGGGTGTGTGTGTACTAGATGGGTGTGTGTGTACTAGATGGTTGAGTGTTGTGTGTGTGTACTCGATGTGTGTGTGTGTACTAGATGGGTGTGTGTGTGTGTACTAGATGGTTGAGTGTTGTGTGTGTGTACTCGATGTGTGTGTGTGTACTAGATGGTTGAGTGTTGTGTGTGTGTACTCGATGTGTGTGTGTGTGTGTACTCGATGGGTGTGTGTGTACTAGCTGGGTGTGTGTGTGTGTGTACTAGATATGTGTGTGTGTACTAGATATGTGTGTGTGTACTAGATGGTTGTGTGTGTGTACTAGATATGTGTGTGTGTACTAGATGTTTGTGTGTGTGTACTAGATGTGTGTGTGTACTAGATGGTTGTGTGTGTGTACTAGATGGTTGTGTGTGTGTGTACTAGATGTGTGTGTGTGTACTAGATAGGTGTGTGTGTACTAGATGCTTGTGTGTGTGCTAGATGTGTGTGTGTGCTAGATGGGTATGTGTGTGTACTAGATGGGTGTGTGTGTGTGTACTAGATGGGTGTGTGTGTGTACTAGATGGGTGTGTGTGTGTGTACTAGATGTGTGTGTGTGTGTACTAGATGGGTGTGTGTGTGTAATAGATGTGTGTGTGTGTGTACTAGCTGGGTGTGTGTGTGTGTGTACTAGATATGTGTGTGTGTGTGTACTAGATATGTGTGTGTGTACTAGATGGTTGTGTGTGTGTACTAGATATGTGTGTGTGTACTAGATGTTTGTGTGTGTGTGTACTAGATGTGTGTGTGTGTACTAGATGGTTGTGTGTGTGTACTAGATGGTTGTGTGTGTGTGTGTACTAGATGTGTGTGTGTACTAGATAGGTGTGTGTGTACTAGATGCTTGTGTGTGTGCTAGATGTGTGTGTGTGTGCTAGATGGGTGTGTGTGTGTGTGTGTACTAGATGGGTGTGTGTGTGTACTAGATGGGTGTGTGTGTGTACTAGATGGGTGTGTGTGTGTGTGTACTAGATGGGTGTGTGTGTACTAGATGGGTGTGTGTGTGTACTAGATGTCTGTGTGTGTGTGTACTAGATGTGTGTGTGTGTGTACTAGATGGGTGTGTGTGTGTACTAGATGGGTGTGTGTGTGTACTAGATGGGTGTGTGTGTGTGCTAGATGTGCGTGTGTGTACTAGCTGTGTGTGTTTGCTAGATGTGTGTGTGTACGAGATGGATGTGTGTGTGTGTGTACTAGATGGGTGTGTGTGTACTAGATGTGTGTGTTTGCTAGATGTGTGTGTGTACTAGATGGTTGAGTGTTGTGTGTGTGTGAGGTATTCACTGCGTTACGATCCACGTGGCACGGGTTTGATTTCAGGACATTGCGCAACAACGGTGGCTATTGTCCTCGGACACTAAGCCGACCCTCCTGTAGGTAGACACAGCCTGATATGAGTACCTGGTGCGGCGCTCAGCTCCATATCAGCAACGGAGAAGACAAAATAAATGTTGCTAATTTTTAATGTCGTTGCAATTTTTGGATGCTAACGCTGCTGGAAATACTACTGTTTTTTTCCTACCTACGTGACTTTACCGA